AGAGAGAGATATAGCTGTAATATCTATATCTGAACGAGATATTATAGCTATTGTTGTGATGGCTAGGGTAGTAGTTCGTGGGATGTGGAGTACAGTAGGTCAAGGGTTCTCATACATATAAAGAATACCACCCACTTTTCAAATTCTTTAGCTATAAGCAATAATAAAGCATCCTTTCTCTTCCTTTCAATTTTGAATCCTTTGAACAGATCTAAGATAGGTTTTTTATTCTATTCTTGCGCTTGTATAGTCTTAGTTTGCTGTTCTCATCTGCATAAGCATGCTTGGATTGCATGAGCTCTTGCTCATTGCTTCAGCAGCTGTTTATTCCTTTTTCTTTCGAGAGTAATAGCGCTCTAGTTCTGATTCAATAGTGCAGTAAGTATGAACTTAGCTGTTCAAGCTGGTAGCTCAGAGCTGTTTGCATTATAGTTTGTAAGAATTAGTAAGAGCAGCAAGTTTATTCTATGAATAAGCGTACTCTTTTTCTCTGCTGAGCTCTTTTATTTCCTTTATCTATTATGCTTATATAATAAGCTATACATTATATCTGGATTCTGAGTTATGCTTGAGATCTCTTATAGAGAGGAGATGGATGAACAGAGGAGGAGTAATGTAAGTTCTGGTTGTAAGCTGATAAATAATGCGTTGAGCTTGCAAGCTAATATTACAAAGAAACGAATTCCTTTTTCCAATATTTCTTATATTAATCAATAATTCTATATAGAAGCTAATACAGCTTAGATCTATATAAACTATAGTAGAAAGTTTAATTATATTGAATATGAGTTTATGATTAAATTATAGAGTAGAATGCTTTTAATAAATAGTACTCTGCAGAGAAAAGTAGTATAATTAATAAGATTTATGCTTCTTATAATAATCCAATTAGTATGCTTTATCTGAATATATCTAGCTATATTGATTCTTTGAATTAAAAGCTTGCTAATTGCATTATTTCAAAAGCAAAGAATATAGAAAGATGAAAATAAGAAACTATTAATGCATATAAGGAATAGAGATTAAGAATTATAATAATATCATCCAATATTAAACTTTAATCAATACTTTATATCTAGTTAGAAATGCTTCTATTGATTAGCAGAACTATTAATAAAGAAAATTCCAATATAGTATAAAACAGCTAACTCAATTCCTTGTTATTTATTATAAGATAGATCTTATACATACTCTACTTATAGATTAAACCTTTCTTAAGCATCTGAATCCTCTCAATCTCTATAGTATTATCTTCTGCAGAATATGGAAAGCATTCCAGCTGTAGTATTCTCAATTCAAGAATCTCGAACCAGGAAAGCAAAGAAATATCGAAGGAAGCGATAATTAAAAGAGAAGATAGCTTCTATATCTAAAAGCTCTTTCAATTAGATATTCAGTTCAGCTAACTATCTAGCTAATAATTACTATAATTAGAACTTTAGATTTCTCTTCTATAGTAAGCTTGCTAATAGTAGGTTAATGTTGTTTGCTTATATAAAAATCTCCTTGTAGCTGAAGCGATTCAACTGGTAGCATCAGATCAAAGGAATTGATAATACTTAAGTATTCAACTTTATAAAAAGCTTCTGTATAGATATAATTATTACTGAAGAAGTGAAAAGATTTATTATAAGCGCTAAAACTTGGAATGAATAGAAAGAGCAACTGTTAGTTGCTTATTGCTCTTGAAACTATCTTCAGATGTATACTTCCGAGCAGAAGCATCTGAACATTATTAACAACTATTTCATTACCAATACTACTAGCTTCTAGTTATTCATTGTAAACTATAACAACGCTCTTACTCGTCTTAAGATCAGAGATAATCAATCTATAGCAGAAGCATGAATAAAGCTTTTTTCAATCTGGATTAAGCGCCTTCAAGCTGATTATAGTATTACTGCTGAAAGCATTAGTAATAAGAAGTAGCCTTATCTTATAAAAAAGCTGTTAAAGATTCATTATAAAGCATTCTAGAAGAAAACTCAAGACTAATTTGCTTCCAATGCTACTAATCTTCAATTTCATTAACAAGCTTAATTCCAAGATTCTTCTATACTTCTACCTTAGCTAGTTCTTAATCAGATACAGCTTATTCCTATTCCATATCCAATGCATAGTACTCTTAGTTAACTAATGAATCTGTTAAAACAAGCAATAGAGCTATTATACTATTAACCGCCTCAATAATTAACTTATAATTAGCAAGCTCAGCCTAAACTAACTAAGCAGATCTTAAAAGCTAAATCTGCTTAAAAGAGCAATCAAGAATACAATCAATTAGCTTTAATAATGAAGCAACTCCGCATTAATCAAATTGTAATAGCAAAATTCTTAAAGCTGCAGACTAATACTTTCAAACAGATGCAGGATATCTTATATAACTAAATCAAAGCTTTATAAGAAATCTTATAACTAATTAAGCATTTCTAAACTATTTCTGCAAGGAATTCTCTTCAGGGAAATGCAAATTTCTTGTAGATGAGTATTATTTATATAAGTTCGGAGAATAAAAAGAAGCAGTATTCTGAAGCATAGCGAGCGGAGATTAATGAAATCCTGAAGAAGAATGGAACTCTATACAAGTGCTATAGCTATAAATCGAAGTTCTATGAAGCTTATGAATGCATAGAACTCTGTACTGTTATAAACTGTAGTATTTGCTATATTTTAGCATTAGCGAAGCTAGAGTAGTATCTTAGCAATCGCTTAGAGTTTCTGAACTCTAGATTAAAATCAGTATTATATAGCTAGATTATATTCGCTTAAGATAATCCCAAAGGCAGTATAATCTATCTAATTCTTAGTTTCTATAAGAATTAGCAGCTGAAGAGTATTAAGAATCCTTGGATCTCTTGATATATTAGCTTGATTTAAGAGAATAAGAAATAGCATAGAGATTCTAAAATAGCTAAGAATAAAATATTATAAGAAGAAACTAATCCCATTCTCAGATGCAATAATTAGTATAGAATTAATAATATTGAAATTCTCAGCAGTGCTAGTAAGATTTAAGTAGAGAAGTTATATCTTACTTTAGCTCAAGCTGAACTATATTTATCAAAGCTTTTCAGCATTAATGCTATAAGTATTAAGCTTGTTCAAGCTCAGATAAATGCAGATAAAGCAAAGAAGCGCTATATTGGAAAGGCTGAATATAATGATAGTGAGATTAGAGAAGATGCAAGTATGAGAATTGTTGAAATCTCTATATATTTCGAAAATATTGAACTAGAGAAATTCAACAAGCAATCCAATAATCTGAACAGAGAGCTAACAATTTAAGCTATTAGTAATAAGCTTCTGAATTAGTTTCTAGATTACTTATTAAAAGTTTTAAGCTGAAAGATAACAGTTATATTATTAGAATGAAAAGCTTATCTAATTTATAATCTTTAAGGAGTTAGCTCTAAAGCTCGAAAAGTTGTTAATCTTAATAATCAAACTAGCTTAGATCTGCATAAGGTAGATACTGCTGAATTAGCTAATTCATTGCAGCATAAATCCAGAATCTCGATACTTTCCCAGCCTGAAGAGCTTATTAATAATCAGATTATCAATACTCGGAATATTACTAAGTATCTTTCAAAACTAGCTTAATTACTTGCAGTTCAAGCTTTGTTTCTTATTGCTGAATCTAGCTATATTAAGCTTACTATTAACATAATTCGAGCTTTCAACAAATCCTTATTTCCTTCTGTAACAGCTTTCATAACTGCTCTTAGCAGCATCCGAGATAGAAGTATTGCTCCAGTAGCATATATTCCTCTGCAGCTGAAAGATAAAGAGAATAAATCTGTACAAGCAATGCTGAATACAGATGCTGAAATAAGCTTAATAGCTCTCTCTCTATATTTAAGCATGCGCTTATCTTATATGCTAATATCGAATATTATCTTATAAATATATAATAGATCAGATATAGCGCTTGTTAGAGTTCTTGAAACTAATATTTTCTATAGCAGCTTCTCTAAACAAATAATATTCTATATTATTAATAACAGATTAATATTACTAAATTATTCTGTACTGTTAGAAATGCTGTTTGTAATGCAGATCAAGCTTTCCTTTAATCACTCCATTTCCAGATTTCTCCATACAAGCTTTGCCTTTGGAGAAGTACAACTGATTATTACAATCAGCAATCAGAAACTTCTTGAAGAGAAGGGTTCATACAGAACTATATTAAAAAACTAAATGCTAGCAGCTATTCTGAGAGATGTAGAGCTGTTAGCGGAAAAGTTATTCCAGAGTAGGTATTATTGAAAAAGGGAGATATAGCTATAATGTTCATATCTGAATGAAATATTATAGCTATTGTAAATAAGTTAATAGTAGAACTGATAGAGAGGAAGTTGAAAAAGGATTGCTCTATAGTAAATAAGAAAGAAGCAATCCGAGAGTCTTGCTTGTATGGAATGCACAGCAGCTAGCGCCATTCACGCTAGCCATATTATGTAGGAAAGGAAAGAAAAGATATCTTAAGCTTGATTAATACTCTTTACAAGCTCAAAAACAAGAAGATTAAGCCAATTAATAATTCCCAGCCTGATAATTCAATACTGAAAGGGATAATCGAATGAAAGCCTGCTAAAGTTGAGAAAATGAAATAAGCTCAGCGATTTACAAAGCTTACTAAGTATAATAAGTGGATTGAACCCAAGTTCAGCAATCTAGATCCTAATCAGCATCTGAAATCTAACTAGTAAGCTGCTATGCAAGAGAAAAACTGTAAAGGGTTTTCTAAAGCTAAGAAGAAAATGTTCAAATACATATTGAGAAACAGAATCAAAGCTCTTGCATGGAACTTTACTAAGATTGGAAAGATTATTAAGAAAGTAGCTTCCTTACAAGAAATCAGAATTATATTCCATAAGATCTTTTAAGCGAAGCATATTCCAATCTCTAATGCTCTTAAGCTAAAGCTAATAGAGCTTCTGAAATAATATATTAAGCGGAAGATTATTAAGAAAAGCTATATATTATATAGAAATAACTAGTTTCTTATTATCAAAAAGAATAATAGCTTATGCTTAATTAATAATGCTCAAAAGTATAACAAGCATAGCCTCAAGAATACTTTTATGCTGCTTGCTTTAGATAAATTCTCGGAGAAGTTCGCTATATACAAGATTCTTTTATTGCTTAACTTCTTTTCTGGATATAATCAAGTACAACTGTATCCTAATAGCAGGAATATAATAATCTTCTTAATGCTCTTAAGCTTATTCAGAATGTATACTCTATTCCAGAGTGCTACTAACTCTGTTGCTCAATTTATAAGAATAATAATTAGATTTCTATATAATCTTATTCTTTATATATACTAGCCTTTTCTTAATAACATTTCTATTTATAGTTCTATAATAATCTATGGAAATGAAGAGATTTCAAGCTTTTCCGGAATGCATAAATATATTGCTAAATATATTGGAAACCTTAATAAGATTCTTATAAATACAGAGCTAGCTAGAGCTATAATCTCAGCATTCAAGTTAGAATAATGCTAAGTAAAAGTTGATATAATTAATTATATTATCAGTTTCAGCAAATAATAATCTTAGAATAGAAAGATAGAAAAGCTTCTAGCTTGAACAGAATACAAGAATATCAAAGATATTCGCTCTTTCATTAGACTAATTATTTATTATACAGCTTAGATTTGGAACTTTGCAATTATTGCTCAACTACTCTACAATCTTCTCAAGAAAGATATTGCATAAAGATGAGAGAAAGAATAGAAAGAAGCTATTGCCACACTTATTCGAATACTCACATCTCATTCAATTATTATTTCAATTAATTACAGCACTAATACTAGAAAGATTATTCTTATAATAAATGCAAGCTTATTGAGCTAAAGTGCTACACTAATGCAAATAATAGAAAATAAACAAAAGCTAATATATTTCATTAGCAGAACCTGGACAGTTGCAGCACAGAAGTATAATGCTACCAAGAGAGAGTATTGCACTATTCTCTATGCCTTACAATCTCTTTAGCAGTATTTCTATAATTGCTATTTCATTCTGGAAACCAATACTTGCATTCTGATAAATTAACTCAATAGAGAAATGAATAATATATCTAGTACTCTTCTGAATAGATAAATAATAATAATTAAGATATTTGATTTTATTATTAAATATATTTCCGAATCAAAGAATTCTATAGCTAATGCTCTTTCTTAATCTTTATACTCAATGCTATTTAAGAAAAACAAAGATAGCAATATTAAGAACTAATATAATGCTCAGCTTAACAGCATAAACTCAGATAAAGCTAATTTAGTACTACTGCTAAATCCAACTCTTCAGTGAATAGAATAATCGAAATAGTATACAGAGTTCTTATGCTACAGAATTATTTTACTAAAACTCTTCAAAAAAGATTGTAAGAACTTCATAATAAAAGCATTAAAGCATCAAATACTTAACCAAGCTCTGTAGTACTGCGCTAATACGAAACTCCTATGCTAATGAATAGTAAATAATTCTAATCTTTATTGCTAAATTATTAGAGAATATTATACTAAGTTTGAATATTAAGATTAAGATTCTATAATAGCTTATATTAAGCAATTTTATTATTAGAGAGATCTCTGAATAGATATAGCTAATGCTATCTCGGATTACAAGAAATATACAAAGTTCAATCCAAAGATATAGAAAAAAGAAGTAATCTTAATTCTTTCAAATCAATTCTTTACAAGAATCAGCATTGATATTCAATATATAGCTAAGAATAGCAGTTACAGATATCTTGTAGAAGCTTGCTATAATCTAACTAGCTATATGCTTGCAAAACCTCTTAAGAAAGCTATAGCTGCAGAAATAAGAAAGTTCATTTTGAAAGAAATCATTCTTGTATTCAAGTACTCTCTTAAAATTACTGTTGATAGAGAACTAGAAAACAAGGCTAAGATAGCTAAGATTATCAGAGCTCTTGGAATTCTGCTTGTTCAGATCTTCAGTTACAATCCCTATGCTTAAGAATAAGTAAAAGCTGATTATCTTTTCTTAGCAAATGCTCTTGCTAAGCTAGCTAATGCTCAATCCTGAAGATGAAAGCAGTATGTAATGAGCACTGCAGCAATCCGAAGATTCCTAAGTACACGAAGAGGTTTATGCTAACAAGAGCAGTATCAAAGTATCAAGTCCTTGAATACGGAACCATACAAGTTCTGATAAGCAATGCAAGTATTCACTGCCTTTGGAGCTACTCAGTATATGAAACTGAATACTTAGATTGATAACTGAAGAGCTATATACTGAATCTATCTAATAGTAATGAACGTGTTCTTATATATTCAGCTCTTTAGTATGGATATATTGAATAGCAACATATCCAAGTTATTCTGCTAGCTCTGAATAGCATATATCCCGAGCTATTCTTCCTGATTAGCTATATCTATAACTCTAATTCTGAATTATGTAATCAATGCTTTGTTAGAATGTTGAGTTCTTAATATCTGATCTCTATTACTCATAATCTGTTCTGTGATCTGCATATTGGATAAATTATAATATTATCTCTCTTCTATCAGTTGTTATTCCCAACGATCTTCTATAAGTATTCTGGCAAGCTTCCGTATTCATAATCTTGCCTTCCTAATCGAGATGTTGAATAGAGTTAACAAATCTTGTTCTTGTGCTGAGAAGACTAGATAAAAGAATTCTCTTCTTTCTTTAGTTCTTCAAAATGCTATCATTATGCTTTCTTGTTCCTTCTGTAAGAATTGTGATATTCAGTCTTATTAAGTTTCCGTTGAGGATTCCTCTTGCTGCGCTGAATGTATTTGCCTGGGTTGCTCTCGGTGCGATGTTTAAGGATTGAGTGCAGCGGAAATTCGTTAGATAGGCATTCAATACTAATGCTTGGAAAACTAACTCGAGAATGCTGAGAAGCGATTGTACGATGCTGCTGCAGAGATAGAATATTTGCGGAAGCAGAAGCATCTGTAGTTTGAGAGAATGATGAAAGCTATTCATTAAAGCCTTTCTAGTATGGAGGAGTTAGAATATAAGAAAGCTGAGAAGAAGCAGGCTTGCGTTGCTGCTGAAGTTTGTTTTGTAGTTGCAGAGGAATCTGCTATGATTGCTGGAGATTCTTTTTTTAAGGGTTTTGATTGGAATTCTGTGAATATAGGGAATGCAGTAATGGATTGATCGGATTTCCTGGAGAATGAGTTTTCTAAGAGCTCTGGATCTCAGTTTGGAGCAGAGCAATCATCTTAGATGCTGGTTTTCCTTTTCCAATATTCAGCTATCTTTTCCTAAGCATTCTTAATGTTCTTCTATAATTCCCATGAATTTTCACTTGCTAAGTAATCTTTTCATTTAATAAGATATTCTCTTGTGCTATCTATGCTTTTATGCTTGAGAATCTTCTCTATTTCATACTTTAGTTCATTATTTTCCACTTCTGCTGTATTATCCGTTAGTATTTCTTGTGCTGCTAGTTTCAGCAGTGAGATATGGAAAACCGAGTATATCCTCATTCCATAAGATAATGCTAATTTGTAGTTAATTGGAGAAGTTTATTGCAAGATTTTGAATAATCCTAACTTCTTGTAATCGAGTTTATTACTAGATCTGATTGTTTTAATGTTTTTTCGAAGTAGGTAGATCTTATTTCCCTTTTATAGGATTAGTTTTTCAATTCTCTTGAAGTTTGCATATTGTAATATTCATTTCTAAATGAATTATAGTTCTGATTAGAGTTTCTTCTGAACTTTTTTAATCTTCTTAACTTTTTTATCTACAGCTTCTGTATCTGCTTCTAACAGCATCTTGTAGTAAGCTATTGAATTATATTTGTAAAATATAAAGAATAGTAATTTCTTTGTTATACTTGTATTTATGCTATTATAAGCGAATTATGCAAAAAGCAACAGATTAATCTAGTTATTCTATTTCTAGTTGATATAATATTAAAAGTATTACTTAATAACTTGATTTATTCTTTCTATCTATTTATCTGTTTATAAGTAAAATGCTATGAATATTCTGTAGTATATTCTAAGCTGTTTTATAAGTAAAGTTTAAAACTTTAAATTGAACTTTCTATTTCTATTGGAAATCACTTTTTCTAGCATGCTGTAATTAGCAATGATTATTTTAAGAAATATATATACAAGTTCTTCTGCTATACTGCTTTCCTTATAGGAAAGAAAATAAGCATACTTGCTTAGTTTGCAAATCATTACTAGAATGCTATTATATTGTATCTTAGTTAAGAATTCTTGTAAGAGAGATAGCTTGATAATGAAGTCTAGATTGATGGATTGCTAAATAGTTGTAAGTATTAGTAAGGAATGCAGTAGTTTATAAAGCTTATATCTTTCTGCTTTATTTTTCTTATAGCTATTACATTATTATAAAATATTTTCAATTCTTTTTCTAAGATCTGATGGATTTTAGTATCTTTTAATGCATTCGTAGATTGCTCTAACTCTCTGATATCTATATGCTAGTATACTATATATATTCTTGATATAGTTGTCTTATTCGTTTGGAATTATTAATTCTAAGTTTCTTTCTAAAGATTCGATTCTAAGAGCAGCATTCAGTTCTTTGTATGCATTAATGAGATTCTCTAACTCATTTTGAGCAAAGATATTCTATATATCTGAAGAATCTGCATTTTGATAATCTGATCTTCTGCTGAAAGCATTTGCTTATTCATTCTCCGAGCTTTTGCAGTATATAATTTTGAAGTTAAACTATAAGAGAAATTCTGCTTATCTGATTTATTATTTGTTCAAAATCTTAATTGTTATAAATATAATCAGATTCTTATAATCCGAGTAAACTATAATTAAGTATTGTATACTAATAAGATAGTATTGCTATTTCTCGAAAGCTTTTACTATTGCTATAAGTTTCTGATTAGGGATTCTGTAGTTGATTTCCAAGCTATTCAACTTCTTTGAGAAGTTGCTTATAATTCTTAAATGCTCTTAATTGTCTTGCTAGCTAAGTTGTTCTTCGAATGCATATCCTAATACATTAGTCTCAATTTTAAAGGGTTTATAGGAATCTGCTTTATATAGAATTAGTTCTGAGATAATATGCTTGATAATCTTATTGAAAGCTTCTTATGCTCTGGAGATCTATTCGAAGAGTTAATTCTTTTTGATAAGATTTGTAAGAGAATATGCGATTCAGCTGTAGTTCTTAATGAACTGCTTATAGAAGTTGATATATTCGAGGAAAGACTTAATATCTCTGATGTTCCTGGGAACTAGCTAATTTCTAACAGCTTTTATCTTATCTTTCTGTAGCTTAATGCATTCTAGCTTAATTATGAATCTGAGATAGTTAATCTT